CACAATCCCTTCTCCTCCATTCTCCTCTTGGGATCTTGGGCACGCCTGCACACGCGCCCAGCCTGAGTTTTAAGCCACTGGGTCCGGGACACGAACTGCGGTTGACTACGTGGGAGTCCAGCGACATAGCCATTACGCTAACTGCTGGTTCCCGTGCCTTCTTAAACTAGATAGAAGAGTCTGTACTTTTTCCATTAGCCTGTTCTCATCAATCTTCCATCTTTCTTTTCCTATAAAGTTCTTCATTCTTTTCCCTCTCTCACCCTTCAGCCCATCTCTTCCATATCATCTCATCCTCTTCTGTAAGCTTATCACAGAATAATAGAAGCACAAACTAAAGAAACAAAAATTCCAAAATGTTCTCTTTTTTGCGTTTCCTTCCAGGACACCATGAGTAGCTACTTCATAATTCTTTCTGCAACAATTATCCTTCTGTTTTGATTCCATTTTCTCAACATCTACAGCATTTAGGGTGTGTATGACTCATCTGACACTTCTCAACTGTGGCCTCTTACTTATTTGTTAATTTCTCTGTATATTTCCCTCATAAAATATTGGATTCTTATCTGGAAGACAGAAGCATAGTCTTCAGCATCTACCAGTGTATCCTTCACAGAGCATATGACTGAGTCTTAGAATTACCTTGTTTTACTTTTAAAGATCTAACAAGTGGTTTAAGCTTAGTGCCAGATTTTATAAATGTTTTATCATATCTGTGAACAACATTCTATGCTCCCAGTTGCTTTCTAGACATGGTGTTGTGCTACCGAGACATTATGCTCTGGAGGCTGGAACCACATGCGAGGCCTGAGTTCAACCTAAATGCGAGCATGTGTATCTGTAATCCCAATGACTTGGGATGCTGAGGCAGGGGGATTGCAATGATGAGACCTAGTATGTAGATATATGTAAATATGCTTTGTGAGTTAACATGCAAAAAAGAAAATAATTTAGGCAAGAGCTTCCATTACAAATATTATAAACTCTGTAGTTGAGTGATTTCAAGACGGGCAGAGTTATCATTTCTGTTCATTTAACTTACATAAATTTTCTTTAGAGAGGAAGTTGTACCTTCTCATGCAAATGAAGAAGTTATCATGGTTTAAGCAAGGCTTTGATGGTAATAATAGTGATAATAATAGTAACAATTACTGAGTCCCAATTGTGTACCAGGTACTGTGCTTAACATTTAATAACCTCATGAATGCTAATAACTTCAATAAATACCATTATTTTCTACATGGAAACAAAATAGGCTTTAGAGAATTTAAACAACTGGCCTAAGATTACATAGCAAGTAAATTTGAGAGCCAGGATTAAAACCTGCAACCTTACATGTGGTAGACACTTAAAAGTATGTATTGATGATAATAAAATACTTCCCTGGAGACAGCAGGTGCCATGGAAGTTAAGGTGCTGGACTCCGACATGGCCATCTGTAGTTCAAGTTCCAGACCTAGTAGTTTGTTTTCTCCCTTTCTCTTTCTCACTCTCTCTCTGTCTTTTTCTTGTGAGTATACATTCCTGTAGCAAATTAAATAGTAATAATAATAATAATAAATTCAATTAAACAAATAGTTTTAAAAACTTTCTCAAATTCCTCAGTTTATAATAGTTTTATGAAGCTCTATATTCTGTTAGAGCATATATTACAATATATATAATTATATGAAGCAGTTACTTAGTAATGTTCATTATGGTTATCTTCAAATACAAAAGAAAATAATTTTGGCTGAATATATAAGGATATTATAGCTAAAGCTCTTAGGAACTGTTACATTTATCACCTAATTTGCTACACCAAACTTACAAGGTGAGTATCACTATAATATTATAATATACTTGATACTGTAATGCTTGCAATACATTATAATAAAAATTACAATGGAACCTAGTAGTCCTTCAGCGTTTTTATGCATTCTTTTCATTTGCAAATGTAAAGATATCATTTGATAATATATTACTAAATAATATCTAATTTATGTAAGGTGTTAAGTACTACAAAGAAATTGCAGTGGTTATAATTTCTCTAAATAATGTATTTTAAAACAGTTCATTAGTTCTGGTTATATTTAACTGTCTGATAAATGCATTCTGTTCAATGAAAACTTGATGCAATTATTTTTAAAGTCTTGAAGTGAATGCTCAAGGATTATTGATCTGACTCACTCTCAACTAATGGCCTAATCAACAGGTCACCTGCAAACAGCAATATGAATTCAATTGATATACTGCTGTGCTTGCATTACAAACTGATTTATTTCTTGCCTAGACATAATTATAAAACTGTAAGAGATGTTTAATCATACATTGAGCTTTTGTAAGAATTTTATTAGAACTTTGTTTTCAACATTAATTGAAATGTTCTATGTAGAACCAAATTTGAGTGTATCCATGGTGCCTATAAAACAAGAAGAGTTAATCTTGTTAGTATAAATACTATAAATTACTAGCTCAGGGACCTACAGTTATGTTTTCATATGCCTAGAATCCATTTAGCAAATTCTCTTTGCCAATTCACTTAATGGCAGCATAGCACTCTGAAAAAATTAATTGTTAACAGGCCTAAAACATTAACAATTTATACTATGTACTGTTATCATTGTTTTATTCGAGAAAACTCTATGGCAATTTTATGGGTCTTTGATTAATGCAGTATTTCTTTTTTAATGCAGGTAAATGGTTTAACTATGGAATTATCTTTCTTGTCTTGATTTTGGATCTCAATATGTGGAAGAACCAAATATTTTATAAACCTCATGAATATGGCCAGTATATTGGTCCAGGGCAGAAGATATACACAGTCAAAGACTCAGAAAGTTTAAAGGATTTGAACAGAACCAAGCTATCCTGGGAATGGAGGTCAAATCACACTAATCCTCAGACTAATAAAACATATGTTGAGGGAGACATGTTCTTACACAGCAGGTTCATAGGGGCTAGCCTTGATGTCAAGTGTCTGGCTTTTGTTCCAAGTTTGATAGCTTTTGTGTGGTTTGGATTCTTCATTTGGTTCTTTGGACGTTTTTTGAAAAATGAACAAGGCATGGAAAATCAAGACAAAACTTACACTCGCATGAAAAGAAAATCTCCATCAGAACATAGCAAAGACATGGGAATCACCAGAGAAAACACACAGGCCTCAGTTGAAGACCCATTAAATGACCCTCCTTTGGTTTGCATCAGGTCCGACTTCAATGAGATCATCTACAAGTCTTCACACCTAACATCAGAAAACTTGAGCTCACACCTGAATGAATCTACCAGTGCAACAGAAGCTGATCAAGACCCAACGACTTCTAAAAGTACACCTACGAACTAGATCCACTTACTTGGATATAGCACAAAAACCAATCTTGAGTATAACTTTAAAAAGTTAGTCTTTCTTTTTGTAAATGTAAGGTTTACGTAGTGTTAGGTAAAGGAATACTAACAATGCCACAACGGTGCTCAACATGCTTTTTCTAGGACTCATTGTTTTCTATTTGTATTATAATACACGTGCCTACTGTATATTTGACAGTCCTCTAGAGATTGCTTTTCACAACTGCACAAGCTATTTACTGACTTTACAGCATAGTAGATTAGCTGACTACCCATGTATCTGATGTTCAACCATAGTGGTGCCTTGAGACATTAAACTGTTTTTAACTCTACCAGAAATGAAGTGTGGAACAGTTCTCTAACCTATTTCACAAGGGTTTTTTTTATACACAATTATTTGGCCTACACTCGATGGCTGAGCTGGAAACAGATATGGCTAAGATGTGGCTCAGGAAGTATCTCTTGATTTCCTAAAGCAGCAGAGTTGGTGACTTTGACAACAGGACTGTAGAGAACATGATGATTACCTTTTAATGTTGATTGGCTGTCTGCCAAATACAAATATAGATGCAAAACTCAGTTACACAAGAACTCTAATCCAACATGGGTCACTACTCATGAAATGTGACTTTCTCCAATCAGAAATTACAATTAGGTGATAATACCTAATTATGTTTTCCTAATTAAAGATAAATTGCTACTTGATTAAAAATCCTGCCCTTCACCTTTGGGAACAAAGGTTAAGAGGCATGGTTGGGTGAGCTCTCAAATTTATTGGCATTTACACAAAGCCCTAGACTACCAAGGAACTGAAGTTTTAATTATGTGAGTTACACAGTTCACGATCTACAATATTTGTACATCTTTCTGTAAATATGGCTCTGGACAGTGGAAATGGAAAAACACGCCAACTCTGAGCAAGGAACTCCTTTAAAAATCATGCAGCGGAACCTCATGAGGTAGAAAAAGCCGTGCATGAAAGAATCTCTTTACTTTCTTGTTGTGTGTGTGTGTGTGTGTGTGTGTGTGTGTTTTGTTTTTGTTTTTGTTTTTTAAGAACTAGACATCGCACATTAATAAATAAGAATTATACATCAGTAATTATGTGATGTAGTTTTTTCTTTAGGGGATTCAGTTGTTTTCTTAGCTTAACATGAATCCATTTAAGTGGGCTTTTTAAAGCTTGATGCCAGGCAAGTTAAGAAATAGAACACTACCACCAACTTGTTTTTCATTTTGTTCCATAAATTGTGGCTACAAGTTTCTTGAGTGGGTGAGGGGAGATCACTTCTATGGCAGAATTATTTTCCTGTCACATACTGACATCGTTGCATTTTGTCTTTATGATTTTTTAAAATCTCCCTTGTTTTGATCTATCTGCTTTTAATCTTGCAGCATGCTGAATTTAGCATGCATAATAGAACTATGCATTTATCTGTCACTTGAGAGCCAACTTTAATAAACATCTTCCTACAATTGTTTACTAAGCAGTTGGAACCATGCCCCTGCTGGTTCTTTTACCTTTAATAGCCTTGTATGATGCTACTTAGAATCATAAATATTACTGACAATAAAAGTACAGAGATCAAGCTCACTATAGTAACCTATTGACCATACCGACCAAAGAAATGTACAAGGTTATACCTGATATTTGGCAACATTGAGTTTCATTGAAATTTCACAGTCTAGAATATTCAACTGTTAGCTATGAGACAAGTAAAAAAATACCACCTGGGACCATATTTTTATTCATTCTGAAAGTCACTGTCTTATAGAATGAAGAAAGTTGATTTAAAAAGTTGATATTTATCATCTGTATGCATTTCTTATGAAAATATTATTTGGGAACCTTTATGTGTGTATTAAAGTGGAAATCTAACCAGAGAAGTAAAATAAGAAAAAAAACAAATAAATGAACCTAGAAAACTATATTCATGTGTTTCTAGGGATTGGCTAGAGAACTATCAACTGATTTGAAAATATGTATTAAAGTTTCCATAAATTTAATATCAAATGAAATAATGTCCAAGGATGGCATTTTAATAGTCAAACAAGACTTCAACCTTCTAAGACTTTACTATTTAAGTATATGAAATGATACTGATCTTTTTTAACTACAAATGAATCTCCTTTCTTCTTTTGCTACCTCTTTTGGATATTGCTTTATACCAAACAAAGATTAGAAAATGAAATGAGATAAAATCAAAGTCAAAAATCAAATTCATTCATGTTTAGCCTTGGGTCCCAGGTCACATGTGAATAGACTATGACTCTACAAAGTTTGTTGAATACCAAACCTTTCTGGATATTAAGATCATTTAAGAAATGTATAGCAAATTCAAAATACAAGAGTTTAAAAAAGGCTTTAAAAATCACTAAGCACAGATTCTAAAGAAAGTATAATAAATGTGATATCTTAATTGCAGTGATACTTAAAGACTAAATAATTATATTTCTACTGTTCAGTAATTACAGTATTTTCTTCCATGCTGTGTAAGATTTGCCCTAATTTGATACAATTTTAGTATCTTTCATTTATAGAGTATTTCATTAATAGTTTAAATGGAAAATTAAATAAACACTATGAATTTGTGCCTGATAAAGTACACTTAGACACAAATCTCATCACCACATACTCATTTGTATCATATAACCATAGTTACCTCATTTTCTTCCCATGATGGCTATTATGTTACCTCATCATTAGCACATCTAAGATCACCAACAAATCCTATTAGGAATGTTAGATGTTAGGAATTATTTTTTCTCCATTTTTCCTAAGAGTCAGTCAGGCATAGTTTTGTTTTGTTTTCCATTATATTTTACAAGTAGTGTCTGTTTACAAGCACTGACTGTTATGCAATGGAAAGAAGACACTGTTTCAAAGGTGGGAGACAATATACCATCTCATCACTGTGCTGTATAAGTGATTCTGTTACATCGTTAAGCTGCCTTATGGGTCATCAACACAACCTGATATAAAACATGAGAACCAAAATGCTAGTAAGTCACTTTTAACTGTCACTTAACTGATAGCTCAGAATGCCAACTGGATTTTCTGATACTCAGCCAACTGAGTACCCCATCACGATTATCATCTGTCTGCCCTCACTATGAACTGATCCTTATTTTAAACTTAAACTCAGTTAAACAACTGCAACCTGGGTATTGTGCTTACATGGCCTTGTTTCTCAGAATCCAACTCTGACTTATTAGCCTGCCCTACCTTTATGAGGGTGAAAACAATTCAATTCCTTCCATATCAGATAAACTGGTACTTCTGTCATTTATCTATTTGAACTTTTAAGCATGTTTTTGTACATAGGGTTGTGATTAAGGGAACCAATATAGATAATAAAATCAAGCTCATAAATGTTTGATTTATTGCCATACACAGGACAAGCACTGTATTAACTAGAAAGGTTTAGATGTGGTACTTGTAGTTCATAAGTCACTCTTGTTGAAGATAACTAGAAAAGAGGTGGATATTTATAAGAGAAAGAGAAAGGCAGATTTGCTTTGATGAAATCTTAGAAATAGGGACCAGCAGTTAGTGTAATGGCTATGTCGCTGGACTCCCATGTAGTCGACTGCAGTTCGAGTCCCAGATCCGGTGGCTTAAACTCACTCCAGGTGTGTGTGCGTACATGCCCAAGATCCTGAGAGGAGATTGGAGGAGAAGGGATTGCGGTGTGGCCATCCCCCCTGGAGGGTGATTTCCCGCTTTCTGTCCTTCTGTCTCTCTCTGTCTGGCGAACACACGTGCCCTATAGCAAAAACCTCTCTCTAAAAAAAAGAAATCTTAGAAATGAAAATGCAAATTTTATTGTGAACAGGCTTTAAAACTGCAGGGAAGGGATAGAGGTCTTTGTAAAAAGAACTTCAACACAAAATTCTCATGAGTCCAGTACTCCTGCATGTTGAGTAGAGGATACAAAAAGATATGTTCAACATAGCTGAGGGGATTATGTAAAAAATTGGTTGATTGATTTTTTTAAAAATCATATTGAGATTACTCTACATCTGCCCCAGGGATCTTGTTGAAACTTGAGAGAGAAGAAACAGGACCCATGAAACTAACTATGGAGATGAGAGTTTGGGGCATGTGTAGCATAAGAAAAGAAAGATAAACATGAACACTTGGGACTAGCAGATGGCATAATGGTTACATCGCTGGACTCCCACGTAGTCACCTGCTGTTCGAATTCTGGACCCGATGGCTTACAACTCACGCTGGAAGCACATGCGTGCATGCCCAGAATCCCAAGGGGAGGATGGAGAAGAAATTGCGGCATTGTGTGTGTGTGTGTGTGTGTGTGTGAGATTTCTCGCTTTCTGTCTCTCTGGCTAGCACAGGTACCCTATAGCAAAAATCCCTCTCTTAAGAAGAAAAAAAAAAGTCAACACTTAATTCAGAGAGTTGAAAGAACTTTCTAGATGGAAAAAGAAATGTGGTACAGTCTCCTATAAGCATGTTACCCAAATAGAAGCTGACATCTTATAAATGAAAATACAGGATCATAGATCCTGAAAAATTTCAGTGAGAAAATTGGAAAGTATTGTTACTGATCTAGTATACAGAAAATACCACTGATGACATTTTAATTTAGTATGAGATATCAGTTGGTTTGCTCTATAAATATAAAATGCATATAATATATTTCACATAATTATTCCTTACCCTCTATCTTCCAACATGATAAGGTCCTAAGTTCCTTGACACCAAATAATTATACTGCTGAACTTTTAAAAGACTTACCTACATAACTGAAAAGGACTACTAAAATTTAAAATTGAGAATTAATAGTAACAAAACCAAGATGTTCCTTGCCCCAATAGATTTTTTTTAACTTTATCTAATGTTTGTTCAATCCTCAAATTACTAATACTACCATTTTGAATATTTTCAATCTGCAAATACATTATGCCGCTTAATCTGTTTAACTCATTGAAGGCTAATCTCACTGTACAGATGAAGAAATTGATTCTCAGAGAGGTTTAGTGACTTGCTCAAGATCACAAAGCTGGCCAAATGCAAAATTAAGAATTGAACCCAGGTTTTCTGATTCCAAACTCTCCTCATTTTTAATTATAGTCATTCATAGACTACTAAAACTAGAATCTCCTCTCCAAACAGGACCTTTGATGACGATAACCTAGGGAATGTTGTAAAGCCCTAAGGTGCTTGACTTCTGGAAAGACTCTCTCAGGAATCTAAGTTAAGTATTAATTTATAACAGCTGCCTGGATGCAATTTATAAGTTAAATCATGTCATTGATACAGAAAAGTTTGGATTAAATGGCAGAAGCTGCTGGTTTATTGCCATATATTTTGATTTTAGCTAAGTTTACAAAACCACAACATAGATATTTTTTATACGATTTCTGCTATTGGAACTGTTTTCTTTCCTGATTTCTCTTTCCTTGGGAAAGAAGGGTGGACAGATCTCTGAGTGTTTTGGGTGCATCCCCAGGTGCATGTGAGAGGAAGAACAGTTATGACTAGCCAAACGAGAAAAAACTGATAAATAATAGCCAAGTCTAGGAAGCATAATTTGAGCATGAGCTCTAGTAACAACAATATTTTGAAGTGAACATCCAAAAATTATTATTTAAAAAACCTCTAATGAAAGTAAGAAATCATAATTTTGAGAAGACAAGCACTGGCCATAAAGGATGTGTTCCTGGAACACTATGAGCCTTTCTCTTCTTGCCAGAATGGGATACCTTACAGAGTTTTGAAGATCGTGTAGGTGAAAGCGTTCTTTGAGCTTCAGCAAGTAGTGGTGATGTGAGGGATGATTACAGGTGTGGGATCCAGGCCCTTCCAGCTGAGCTTTCATCGGAGCCCATGCAGCTCGCCTTCACCAGCAGCTCCGAGCTGATGCTGCCACTGAGCGTGGTTAGGCCTTTGCTCACAATTTTCAGTTTTTCTGTCATTGTCTTGAACCTACAAGCTGCAATGT